AGCTGCAGCAGCGATCAGAAGTCCTCTGAAGCCCTGAGGAAGGGTGCGGCCGGACGCGGGACGGGACGCAAGGCTCCGCCCCAACTAACCACCCCCTCCATCCCACCAACGTTTCGCGCGCTGAGCTCCAGACCTAGACTCTGTGAGAGCCAATAGGTACAGCTGGTGGGGGAGGCCCCGCCCCGAGGCTTCCCAGGCCAACACCCTCTTAGCATAATACATGCGGTGCCCGTTTCAATTGCATGGAGTGGCTGTTGGCTTGGGACCCAACGTTCTGAGTGCTGGTGGCTTTGGTGGAGTGGCCCCAGCACCTTGCGTCCTCCCGCAGTGCGCGCCCCGGCTTTCCGAACTACTCCCAGGTCAACGCACCCTTGGGCGGCCACCCTCCCCAGCACCGCCCCACACCCAACGCTACCCCCGCAGCCTGGGCTCTGTCCACGGTGCTACCAGCCCGGGCCGTTCGGACAGGTCAGGTCTAGAGCCGTCCCCCCCCATCCCCCCCACTCCAGGGATGATCTATCCACAGGCCAGGCTCCCCTGGAGCGCGGCAATGCGCGCCGAGATGTCCCCTACAGTGTTCCTGACATTCCAGGCGCCATCGGGAGAGGCCCTGCCCTTTGGACCGTCTTCGAGCTCAACAAAACTCACTCTATTATCGCCCACAACGTACACTTTCCGCCCCGCCCAGGACAGGCAGGAAATGGAGGGGAAGAAAGAGGGCAAGTGGCCAGGGAAGAAAGTTCACTCCCTGCCTGGGTTCATACTAAGGTGGGGCCCAGGAAGGCATCTCTTCTTCCGCTTAATCTGGCTCAGCCTCACCAGCCTGCCTTTCCCCTCGCCGCCCTTCCCCAGGACCCCGCCCACCCATCCTTCTGCAGGCGATTCCTCAGCCCTCTGCATTTCAGCTGGGTCCCAGGAACTGCGTGGAACGCCCTCAACTTGCATGGACACACCCAACCCTTTGCTTCAGTATCATCAACATAATTTCCCACCACTTAAGAATTTGCAGAGCCCTATACCAAAATAGGTCCTTTATTCAAAGTCTGTGTCTGGTCTTTTGACCACTTTTGTTGACTTCTCACATTTCACGTAGGGCAGCAGTCCAGGACTACCCCCAGAGGGGCTCCAAGACCCTGAAGTCGGAGAGCTCCTTATCAAGGTCTATGAGGAGGGGAGCCGATTCCTCTTGCCATTTGGCCTGGACCATCTGGACACTCAGAGTTAGGCCAAGTTCCCAATAATAGTACCAGATGCTTCCTGTCCGACGACTGGCCTCTGAGAGATGAACAGAGGCAGAGCTGCCCTTAAACTGGAAGGCCAAGGCAGAGCGCGGCATGGAGTCTCTGGTGTCCATCACACTGTTGGAGGATCCAATGGACCCTGGGGGTCCTGAGTCAGAGAGCAGAGATGAGCGAACGCAGGGAACTCTGGCTGGAGGCGCTCAGGGGGCGGTAAGTCGAGGCTAGCCCCTCAGCCTGGGAGTCCCCAGGGGGGCAGGGCAGTGCCACCCCTCCAGGTCGGCGGTACCACACAGCCCAACTTCTCCCAGAGCCCTGGGAAGGCCTCAAGGGTGGGGGCCCTTTTCCTGGAACCAGTAGACAGCTCCTAGAGAGGGAGCAGACATCAGCCAAAGACCAACCAGTCTCACCCCCAGCATCCTGCTTCGCCTGTGATCCCAGGCTCGATTTCCTGTGTAGACCCAAGGTCCCTCAAGAGCCTAGGAGTTTCAGCTCCATTCCTTGGGTCCCAGCTTCCCACCAG